TGGATATTACTGTTGCTGAGTGAGTCTAGCCAGAAATAAGCTGATGGGAATTTTTAAACGGAGGAAAAGAAACAGCACAAAGGCACTTGCCATTTTTATAGTGATCAGAGAAAAAGAATCTTTTTTGTTTGGGGCGGGTGAGCATTCTTCTAAAAGGAGCTTCTGAAGTAGTTGCAAAGGAAAAGAGTTGACTATTTTTATAGTATATTTAATATATTTGTATATAACTATGAGTAGGAACCCTGCACACGCCTCCCACTTTTCTAGCTTCCTCCCCCTTTGGCCACAGCACTAGCAGAGCCTCATCCGCATGGGTGCCGTGCCTATTGTCAGCCTACCAAAACACAGTGCTGCTGCTTTCTGAGACAGGTGAGAAGACCCAACTCTCATGCCTGGGGATCCTTTACGTAGGAATAGCACACACTTCGCAGACATCACACCACAGTTGAAAAGCATCATTTTGAAAGGTAACAAGCACTTTATTGCAATTACTCATTTTGATAAAGTTTATTATCGTAGATATTGCCATTTCTAAAGGATCCCCAACTCATCACTTAGGTGAAATTTTTAAATGACACATTTCTGAGAAATGTTCAGATCCAGTGAACCATAGTAGGTTTAAGGGAGTGATTTCAAGGTAGCCAAATGAACTTTGACTTTTGTTTTGAATGTGGTAGAGTCAAGGGATTGTAGATGCCTAGTTCCATTTAGACACTATTGTAAACCTATCTTGCCTATTGTGTGGACACCAAAAGAGACCAATGAGCCTGTTTGTTTTCAGAGGTCTAGGAGAATTGCATTAGTGTGAATAGATGTATAGAACTAACCTAAAAGTGATTGGTAGTCATATTTTAGAATACAGTAATTTCAAGAATTATTCTGAGTGTTTTAAATGTGCTCTGAAATGTTGGCATGTCATTTCAGTGTTTCCATTTGAATTGCTCTTGTAATGTTTTTGCACAAAAAGAACTGAGAAATACTACTTTGGTTGAAGAAAAGGAAAAAAATAATTTGGTCTTATTTTAATGTCTCCTGTGGAAACACTGGAGGTGAATTTTGTTGGTACAGTTATTTTCAGGACATTTGAAACAGTATTGAACAGCTCACAAGAAATTAAGCAACCGTGAATAGATTGAAAAATTAAAACTCTTTCCATGTGACTGTTTTGCATACTTTATCCCCATGTCATAATTTAACACTACATTCCTTGTTTTTTCTTAAATAAAATAACTTTGCGGGTTCTGTTTTTGAGTATTTAGCAAGTTATTTTCTAAGCTGCCTGGGTTTTCCTAGGGAAAACGTTCTTAGGTGAAATAGGATATAGTTTATGAAAAGACATTAAGTGAAATCCCATCACCACCACCAGCAAACACTGAGGTGCTGCATTAAGTGACAATCAAAATAGTATTTATAGGAGAATTGAGAAAGGGGTTTTTAAAGCAGTCGCTTTGAAAGTAGTTATCTGGGTTTCTTGAATAAAAATGGCTAAATGTATTTATTTATATTTTAAACTATCTTTGCGTCCCGTTTGCTCATCAGCGTGACTTCAGTGTCGTGTGTTTACCTGTGGTTTGCTGTGTTCTGCCCTGTAATCTGTGCGGAGGACCGGCTCTGCCTCCTGGGGGTGCGTGCGGGCCTCAGCCCTCGTGATGCCTCTTGGTGGTGCTGCGAATCTGTTCCACTTCAGCACAGCGGTGGAGCCCAGCCCAGGTGCCCCCAAGGCTCCCCTCCTGTTCTCAACTCAACTCAGTTAAGAAAAAGTAAAAGTAACTCCCAACTTTTTTCTAGTTTCACTTGCTGCCTTTTCTATTTTATGGGCACTTTTTATGTAACTTCCCCAACGCAGCCAAAGGCCAGTATGACAGAACCCGTGGCACACGTTGCCTCCGTTTTGCCCATTTGGAAAATGTTATTAAAACAATTAGCATCTTCTAATGGCCATCACTCATACCCATATTAAAACCCATCTAAAGTCCTTAAATATAGGTGGAACAATGTATAAATATTGCAAACTCTTTTACAAAGAAAAATAATGTGTGCTGTCTTTTATATATAGTTTGCTTGGTCCTTTAAAACCAAAGCCAAACCAAACCTTCCTACACAGCACCATACAACAAAAGCAGTGTTTGAACATCTAAAGCCTAGAAATTTGAAGATACTCATTGCTGGTCTGCACTGGAACAGAATTCTCCACCTTAGGGCTCTTGAGTCCCACAGGCCACGTCCAGAGTGCACTCTAGCTTTGGGATCCCTTCGAGAATGGTAATTAAAACAAGTCAACCACAAGTTGGATTTAATGATGTAAAAAGTGTTTCTTGACTCTTTAAGGGTTAAATTGGAGAGCTCATGTTTTTAAATGTATGCTTTTAAGTTTCTGAGGAAACAAACTGTGACATCGTTTTAAAAGTGACATTCAGATGTTTTACGATGTGTTTTGAGTTGGCCTGTACTGGTGCAGATTCACCACTGGCAATGGTTGTGCCAATACTAGAGAGTTAAAATGTAGGAGAAGCTATGTTGTGTTCAGGTGGATGTATTATGTAGCCAGACAATCATCAAGCAGAAAGAAAAAAACTGGCCAGGAAATGTCCTTTTCCTTTATAGATGTCAGCCAGCCAGAACAGCTGTCATTTAGATCACCCTGGAGTCACTTTGAGGTCTGTTTTATCACGGTGTGAGTTGGGGAAGGTCCTCAGTATGGCACTTGCACATTCATTCTATGTAAAGACTGAAGCCCAAAGACAAGGTAAATTCAGTGCTGTATTGAAACCAGTTAGTGCAAAAAAAAAATAATAATTTTTTTATCTCTGTAAATCTGTAACTGTTAACATCAGTTGGTAGTTGTAAACACACACACCAGATTATCTCTAATGTTCTGTGTGGTTCTTAGTGTGCTACCCTTGACATTGATATGTCCTTACTGCTTGGTTCTTGGTTTAAAATTAAAGTTAGATATAGCCTGTCATTCTTCCTTCTGAAAGGGTGGAGCTGTAAATGGCTAAGAATACCTATTTTTCCTAAAGCAAACATTTCATTAAAATCCAGATTGATATACATAAACAAGGCTGACATTTTCCAAGTAATGTCTTCAGCCCGAATCCTAAAATACACAGAAGCACGATGGGTAATATGAATGGTTTTAACGGTGCTATAATAGGTTCTCTGCTGATCTTCATGACCTGTTTGGAAATACAGTATTGTATAAAATGTGGATCATTTTGTTACCAATTTAATATTGCCATTCTAATTTGGTTTTTAAACTGGTTACACTTGTTTCTCAGAGCTATCCTTTGAGAAGAGCGTAAACTGTGTTATTAGCCTACCTCCACTCAGGCCTCTTGCTGTATGATCCTTTTTCCAGGTTGTGATGTGCAGTTTTTAAAAACTATATGTTCTATTATAATTCTTCTTCCTATAGACTCCTGTAATGTATTCAGAACCTAAACTGACAGCAAAAAGAGCCAAGCAGTAGCATTTTGTTTTTTTTTATAAATGTAAAAATTAGATTCACTTTGTTTCCTATTCAGTTTTAAAAATAAAAATACCTCAGTGCTGTGTTTTCCAGTATCACCTGCATTTCTCAAAATAACACCTGCTTTATGTGGCACATAACTTGTAAGAATCACATTATTTTGGATTTTAAAGAATATTAAATATTTTAAAATCACTACTGATGACATTTTTCTCTTTTATTCAGCCATGGAGTTAGTAGCCTTTAGCAGTTTTTGCCTTGTAGCTAAGGTCTGAGCTGCCAGATTCTCTTGAGTAGATGTGTCCTGTTACAAGAGTGTGGGGCCTCAGAAAGCCTGTTACTCACTAGGCTGGTGCCGGGACTAGGCTGCCTTCACTGCCACTGTACCAGCTACTCCCTAACAAGAAGTAATACAGTTCCTCACTTAATTCTGTAACAATTTAAGGCAGTATTAGGGATATTTTAACTGCAGAGATTTCCAGTGTAGTCTGGGGACTTAATCTGAGATTTCTTTGCAGTGTATTAGGAACAGTGTGTTTTTCTACCCTGTAATACACACTTTTCATGGTAGAAAAGTTTCTAAAAATGACTTTTTCAGAAATACGTGAACTGCTGCTTTTTAACTGACAATCATATTTAGATCTCCTCACAATAGTGGTCAGCTGTCTCCCACAAAGTTACTGCTGCGTTGAGAATGCTGGGTGATTAACTGGGTTCTTTCACAGTCTTCACGTTACCAGTGACTACACTATGCACTGTGTAGGTAGCTCGCTACACCTCACTTGCGCTGGGTCTGCTCTTACGTACCCTTCACGCAAGGAGCACGTGGAGGTTTCTGCAGAACTGTTCTCAGGTCTGTAGCGGCTGCTGGTAGCCGTGTTACTGCACATGGTAAAGAGCACATCAGGCTGGGAGAAAGCAGGTGTGCTGCTCAGATGGAACATTTGGTACGCAAGTTACAACTGAAATGACAGTGATTACTGAAATGGCTGTGATAACATGAGGTGGCCTTCACCATAATCTGTGATTGTGTCTCTAGAGGTAAACTGTCCAGTTTGATCCCTTCCTGTACCGAGAGTTATTTAACCTTTTAAAAAAAAAACTTTACATTTAGTACCTAATGCCTCACAGAACTTTGTGAAGGCTTATTCGGTTGCTAAGTGGTGTCTGACTCTTAGTGAGGTCAGGCTCCCTTATCCTTCATTATCTCCCAGAGTTTGTTCAAACTCATATCCATTGGGTTGGTGATGCCATCCAACCATCTCATCCTGATGCCCCCTTCTTCTCTGCCCGCAATCTTTCCATCAGGGTCTTTTCCAGTGAGTCGGCTCTTTGCATCAGGTGGCCAAAGTACTGGCGCTTCAGCTTCAGTCCTTCCAGTGACTGTTCAGGGTTGATCTCCTTTAGGATTGTGAAGGCTAAGATAGTGCTTTAGAACAGTCAACTTCAGAAACTGGTCTATAAGTACCAATGTGACTCTGATGAAATTAGAAAATTAGAAGCTAGCATAACAACAAGGAAAACCAAGCACTGGTCACACCGCTTTTATTTATGTCGCATGTTACACTGTTCATTCAGCATAGAAAAATATGAATACACTCACAGTATTCTCTCTTAATTTGCTAATTCCACATGGTCAAATATTGACTGTTACTGTATTGGGTTTTCTACCCAATTAAAAAAGAGGAAGAAAGGACCTGGCAAACAACTGTCATGTTAATAACAGCAGTACCTTTCTCTTGCTCTTAAAAGACAAATTTTGAAAAGACTTCTGATTAAACCACTGCTTACTGGCTCAGGAAAATGTTTTAAAAGATAGAAATTAATTCATTCTTTCCCCCAGGAAGAATTTTAAGGTAAACATCTTAAAACACCTTGGTTATCCAGGAGAAAATTTATATTCTTTACAAAGGGGTCAGTCAGTGCTGAAAAAAAATTAAGTGGCAGACCCCCCTGAACAACAGTTCCCTATATAATACTACCCCCACCTCACCCCTGGCCAAAAAAAAAAGCCAATAAAATAAAAACGGAGACCTTATATTAACATAATTATGCTGGAGAAGAGGAAAAACTCACACAAATATCAGCTTTCTTTTAAAAATCCATTTTGCAAATAGAATCAGTGATTATTTCTTTTGGACATAATACTTCCATTAAGTGGGTCAAACTCACAAATCAATGCTACAAAATACAGTATTTTCCATCACTTTTAGTTATAATATACACTATGTACATAGTTACCTATCTTAAACTAAATACAAATGAACGTTAAAAACCAGAATCGGGACTTATAAATAGTGCAGAAAATGCAAACGCCAAAAATACGATGCCTCCTATGATTGTCACTGTAAAGAGAACAGAAAGAAGTTAAAGGCAAATCCCCCCGAGTCAGGATGCTGCCTGTCCTTCTAGTAAACAGACACTGAAAACGAATCAGAGACACTCCAGCCTCATTTTCACAGTGAAATACTTAAGGCGCCCAACTCTCAACAGTTAGCAATCAGTTCATTTTCCAGAATTATATTAAATTCAGACAATGCTGACAAGCAACAACAGGACTATACCTCATCTTAAAACCCAGGTATGGGGGCTGAACGGGTGGAAAGACCCAAAAGGGAGGGACGTACACATAGGCGGATTCACTTCTGTGCAGCAGAAATGCAGTATTGCAAAGCAATTATACTCTAAAAAATTAAATTTTCAACAACTTCTGAACAAGCAAAGAGACTATATCTATTCTATTTTTAAGATCAGCTACACAGGAAATTTTCAGCTGAATCAGTATATATAATCTCCATCTATGATTCCCAATTCTGTATGTTTTCAAAGCTTAAAAGTTCTCAAATGTCCACATAATTGTTTTACTGACTTAAATATGTTGACAAAAAGCCACTATGAATCCAGTAATGCTTTGACGTGACTTTATATTTTACTAACATCTGCACATGTGAAAAACAGCCCATGTTTGCAATAGCAGAACCAATACACTGGACTTCTGATTATTGTAACAAAGACATAGTCTACTTTCGAAGACACACACTCTTTTTCTAACCTTAGTGATTCTAAACGTTAAATGGTATTTTCTCATTTACAAAAAATACAAGACTTACCAGTCCTGACGGAGATCTTTTGCGCTATCATTCTTCCTCCAATGACCGCCAGTCCAGTGCAGAGGCAGTGGCCCACTGTTCCCCCCACCGCTACTCCATAGGGGTCCTGGGGACAAGGGTGACGTTAATCTAAAGCCAAGGTGGAAACTGCTCCCTGAGAAAGATAACTGCTTTCCAGCCATGAAAAGAGGTCAGTAACACCACCAACGCAGGAAAAAGTTCTACAAATGCAGGTGTGTAATTTATAAAACGGGTAACGGCTGCTTGAAGGAATATGTTCCAATTATACCTAAGACTAGAGATAAAAGGAGAATAAACTCAATGTGCAAGATCAAAAAAACCTAATTCAGTCTTTCAGCAGTTGCTAAACCTATCTCACAGGCAATATTTCACTCAAGTGAGTGTTAAAGGAGACTCAGTCTGGACACCTCTTCCCTCAGGCAGTATTTGCTACTCTGAAGAAACTATGCCAGCCTTCACAGCGCTGTCTGAAGATGCTTCCTAAGAAAAGAGACCCTGCCTCTCAACCTCTGCTGAGCTAAAGCATCAGGACACAGTACCATTCAGTAAACACCTGCCACCAAAGCAGACTGGAGGCAGGCAGACTGGGAGACCAGTGAAAGTTTTCCAGAAAAGACAGCGCTGACGTTGTCCTTCAGCTGGACCACCTGACTTGGCAGCAGGAGACAGTCATGGACACCCATGCATTTCTACAAAGAACCAGTGAGTCACAAAGCAAGGAGTCCATCATGGTAGGAGGGGGTGTGTCGTGAAGCCTCGAGTTTAGACTTTTTAAGACACTGGTCTCTAACTGGGGAGTGACACGGCGTGTGCTTTAAAAATTAAGTCTAAAGTGAACTGGAGGGAAAGAAGACAAGACCCAGTGATCAACAGAGAGATTCCTCCAGCAGCCCTGCAGAAGAATGCTGGCCTGGGCGGGCGCGGGAGACCAGGCGGAGAAAGGCAGGCAGACGTTGAGAGAGGCTGAAACCCAACTGGTACATCTTAATGACAGACGACAGGTGGGAAAACATCAAGCTGGACACTCGGGGTCCTCACCCATAACTCTCTGGATGGACTACAGTGATACCAAGGTGCGTACAACAGGCAGAGGAAGAAAGGAAAACGGATGCCAACAGAAGTTAAAGGTAGAGAAGTCCAAGAGTCGGTTGGGTTCAATGGAGAAGCAGCGATGGGACTGAACATAATCATCCCGGGAGAGAAGGGAGGAAGGTGCTGACGACACGATCACAGGAAGGCAACCCTGAAGGATGAGAGAAGAGGAGCCTGAGGGAGACTGAACAGGTGACCAAGCGAGCAGCCTCCCAAGAAGACCACGGCAGGACCCGTCTGCGGCTGCTGTGAACTTAAAACGCCGCTGAGTCAGAGGCGGTGCGGCCCAGTGTGTTCAGTAAGCAAGGAAGCAGAGCCTCCTCCTGTTCCCGTCACAGCGAAGCTCTCCAAGACTGATGGAAGAAGGGCACAAAGAAGCTTTACATTTGGAAGAGAAGCAGAATTAAGGAAGTGGGTAGAACTTTTTTAGATGAGAAAAACTTGTGCATGCTAAAATGCTAAGATTGGGCTGGAAGAAAGGCAAAGATTCTAAGCTTTAAGTGGGAGCATAGAGGGCTGAGACCCAAATAGGCAGGACAGGACTACCACTGTGATGGGTGGCAATGAAGAAATGACTTCTGCTTTCCTCCGTGAAGTAGGAAGCAGGCCCGCCTGCTGGGGTGTGCGGTGTGTGCGCAAACTGGGGAAATGGAGACAGCTGGAAATGTTTTCATGCGGAGCGGAAGAGTGGGACTGCATTCTGCAAATCTGTGTATTACAACCAGTAAAACTAACCGAAGGTGGTTTCATTCTATTTTAAAATGACACCTGAAAAAAATCACTGGATTAAATAAAATTAAATGGTTCCTTTAATACAGGATTTTTCAGTCTTTGTTATTTTTTATGTTCCATCTTCAAAACCACATTTATAGTATTTGCCAAATTTACTGGACCCTGGAACCTTCTTCCTCAACCTTTTTCTTTGTTGTTGTTTAGTACCTATGAACATCTCAAAGGACACTAGAGGATTCTGTGAAATTCAAAGTGGGAATGCTGAATTCTACTGAAAATAGAAATGAAGTTTAGACTAAAATGGAGTGAATTAGACTACAGCATGGATTATACAAAAAAGTTACCCACCCCCCCAATGAAGAATATTAAAATAACAAAAATAGCCAAGTACATCTGTGGCCCTGAAGAGCTCATCGCCTGTCCCCGCGGCGCTGAGTGTGCTCCCGCTGTCTGGGACCCAACATGCATCGTCTTGTTTCAGCCCCAAACCACCTGGAAGCAGATGCTGCAGTCACGTGCTCACGTGTGGCAGTCACGTGTGGCAAGAGACTCGACCCCAGGAAGCACACGCTGCACTGCAGGCAGGCGGGCAGTGGGCCACGGGAACCCGGGGTGTGCAGCCTGTCCCAGGGCACTCTGCCATTCAGGTGACCGTGTAAGCAAAAAGCAACGACCCTGCCATCATGACGGCTCACGTGGCAGAACCTCCACCACCATGAAACCATCACTTACTTTCAAGTCCCAGTTCTGGCAATCCGAATGCCAGTAAAGAAGGCTATAAATCAAGAATATAGGGCAAAGCCATTAAAATGATGTTTAAAAAGAAAGTTTATTTTTAAACATAGGACTCAAATGAAAAATTGAGTTCCCTTTTTTCCCAAAATACAGCATTTTTGAGGCTTCTTTGACAAAACTGTCCAGCTTTAACTATTTTAGCCCTGGCCTTCAATTCTTGTTTTATATTTTGAACTGCAGCCTTTGCTAAGCAACTCATTCGTTCATGGTAGATACCTCCTAGGAGTTAAAAAATTCAAATCAAGCTTGCTATCTAAAATCTTACCACCTGACTAAAAACAACATAATTTAATAGATATAAAATCATAAGAAATAGCATCAGTTAAGATCAACAAGAGCTGAGAAGTAGCAGCATTTCTGTCCCACAACTGTCTCCTCAGCAGATCTTAATCCATGTGAACAACAGACCCTCATGTAAACTTCACTATTCCCTTCAAAAGATATAAGAATCTGATGTTTTCTTTAAAAAGTTACCTTTTACAGAGTGGCACCTGACAACTCTGAACAAGATCCAGCAGGAAAGCCTAGCAGGCAGACAGTCTTGGCTCTAGTCCTTGTCCTTGCTACCAACTAACAACTAGCTTCAGTCCTGGTGACAAGCCGCCCAGCCTCTCTGGGCTCAGGAACTGATCCGTGAAGAAAAGGCTAGGACGAGATGCTCTGAGGCGTCCTCTGCCTTGGTATCTTAGGACTGAGGAACCCAGGGCTAAGACTTAAACTTTCTAAGTAACCTTTGCAACACTCAAATTATTCTTTTAGCACAAGGAATGGAAGAACCCAGAGATACCTACTTTTAAGGCTTTAGGTATTTATTGCCAAACTGGCCTTTAATAATAATATACCAGTTTATGTTCTCAACAAATATATAAAGGAAGGTTTTGAGAAAAGAAAAGGAAAAAAATAAATAAAAAAGTAAGCCAAAACAACAGCCACACCGTCATTTTGGCAAAACTGAATGAGGAGTCAAAAGAAACTAATCTGACTGACTGTAGAGATTGGAGAAGGTCAGCTTTAAAGGTAAGCAGAGGTGTTAGATCTGAAACATACTGTCAAGGATATCAAGTCATCCCTTGACCCACCTTGACTCGGCCCAGTGACCTGGAGCAAAGTAATGTTAGTTTTAATACAGAAGCAGTCGTCTTCAAGTACCACTCACCTCTCTAGCTGCCAAAACAATTGTAGTCAGTTGAGAGCGATCACCCCATTCTGCTAAGAATGTTAATGTAAGAGCCTGAACAAAGATGGGTGAAATAAAATGCAGCCACTTTTTCTGAGGTATTGTTGTGCCTGCACCCGTTTCAACATCTCCTGGTCCATTTAAGAGTTTGGTTCGTTGAAACTAAATTAAAAAAAAAAAAAAAAAGACATTAACCCGAGAAACCAAGTCAGTATAGCCCCAAATGCTTAATCTTTCTTTTAAAGAGTGTTTAAAGTCTATGGCAATATGCTCTCAGAAGCTAAGGTTATGTGATCCCAAACTTATCTTTTGAACCACTGGTCTCACATGGCAACAAATGAAATACAATATTCTCAATTTTTCCAATTCTTCCCAACAAAATAAATAAAACATTATTTATTGATCATTTGTTACCCTAGATGCTGTGGAAAGAAACAGAGAAAATTATAAACAAGTTCCTGTTTTTCAGGAGCTTATAATCAATCTAATTAAGAAACTTGATTACAGGTGTTAGACATTTATCCCCGAGGCCTTTCTCTACCAAATTTCCATTAACCCAGTCCTATCACAGCCAGATGTAAGAATGGAAACCAAACAAAATAAGCTATTTCTGTGTAGCCCACACATCTCACAGATATGGATGACCACGGAAAACCTTCTAGAGAGTGTTTACTCTTAATAGTTGAGTGCCTTTTTAACAGCACTCTGACTTACTTCTTCATCTTTTTTCTTTAATTCTGCTTGAACTTCTTCTAGTTCCTCTTGACCTTCATCTGGACTCATCTTTAGGCCTTCCCGAAGCATTCTAATGCCAAAAATGGCAAATAATGCAGTTGAAACATAGTACGTATACACCCTGGGGATGACAGTGGTGGCATAACCAAACAAAACTGCAAGAAAATGCAATGGTATGTCTGATTAATTAGCAGATTATACACCAACCAAAGAAACACAGCTAACTTCAGAAGTCATCATTTACCCCTGTTTTAAAGGGAAAATGGTTCACATTAGAAGCTAACAGGTAAGAACCTTAAATTCTACTTCTTTCCCTCCACTAATATTGAGCCCTTAGGTCTAACCAATGACCTATCTATCACAGTTTAGCAAGAAATCAGTGGTGCAGCTGAAGGTGGCAGAGGTTCCACACAGATCTCTCGTGCGATCTAAGATAATCATGTCCTCTTCAAACACCTTCTGCCAGAGGCTGGCTTGCCACAGGTCATGCAGGGCACAGTACTTTAGTTAGGAGAGTAACTTTGATGTACTCTACACATCGCATGGTCTTATAACCTGGAAGCTATATGACTGTCCTACATGGTATTTCTTCATCACAAATCTAAATTACAAACCTCTATCGTGAAGAATAATGACAAGATTCTCATGTGGCATGACTGAAACGATGCTTCTTTGCAACTATTTAAAATAAATATACCTTACAAAGGAAAACAATTCCATATATACACACACACACACATATATATATACATAACAGACTCAAACTTATTCAGTATAATTCTTTCCTCTCATTAAAGTATAGAGGGATAACTGTATAAGTTACACAAAAAACTATACCTGGAACTTTATCAAGAACCCAAACCCTAACTGTGAAACACATTCACATTGATAATATGAAGTTAGTAATTAAAAACTATGGCAGGGCCAGAGGGCATTTCCATATATGTAATAAATACAATTACTTTTCACTTTACCAGCTCTTTATCCAAAATGGACACAACACTTTTAAAACTGTCTAATCAGATACATAACTGCATAGGTGAACCATTCCATGATTCATTGTATTACAAAATGAAAAAGACTTTAAAATCATGTTTAGAAATGTAAACCTATGCTTCTGTGCATATCAATAAGTTATACACGTGTGTGTGTATATGTGCCCCCCACACACAATACAGACGTATTTTCTAGTTCTGTCCACTGAAAAGGCCCAAATGTCTCAATAACAATGAAGCAGCTTTGCACTCAGATCTTGGTTGCTAATATGCTTCCCACTAAAATGCTCTTTAGAGAAATTGCTAATTCCAGGACTGGGCAAAGTAGGTACAAGATGAACTTGCACTATCCTGTTATATTAGAAAGGAAGGAAGAACAAAAACAAATAATAGCATGTCACAAGGACACAGGAGTCATCAGCCTGGAGGGGTCCCCAGCTGCCCTATCTTCGGTAATTTAAGGAACAATATATAGTTAAGTAATTAATTATAAACCACTGAAAAAAAGGAGTTCATTTAATAAACAGACAAACCAATGTGAGTGGGGTGAGTTCTTTCTTGGAATAGCATATCAGGGCTCACTGGTAAATGTGGATGGGGTACTGCAATTAGCCATTATTTTGCAAGCATCGAGGTAGAGTTCAGATCATGTAAGAGTCATCAGTTGATGCTAAACAATGGGGAGTAGGGTATTTGTACTGCCTTAAAGTGTCTCCCAAAAGATTACAAGTTAACTGTGAGGGAGGATAAAAAGACAGTGCACACTTTACTGGGAGATCAAAACTAACATCAGTGAGGGACAAATGGACGTCACATGCTTCCAGATGTGATACTCTTCAGAGGGACACACGTCAGCTATGCAGTGTTCTAGTCAAGAATGCATAACCCCAATCTAGTCACGAGGGAAAATCTACACAAATGCAAAATGAGGAACTGCCCATTAAAGGGGGAGGGGGATGTATCTTCGAAAAAGTATTATAAAACACGTAAGAAAAGCCTATAGAAACATTTCAGATAAAAACTAAAAAGAACTAAATGTACTATCGGACCTAGACTAGATCCTCTACAGGAGGACAGAGACTATTATCAGATCAACTGACGAAATTAAAATATGGATGATAAGATTAATGTATCAATCTATGTCTATAAAGATGTATACTGTGTGTATATATATGTTCTCTACAGATATATAAAATGTGCATATATACACACATATATTATACACCTAGAGATATATAGAGATATAGAGAGGTCACAAATGCTAAAGCAAATGTGGTAAAAATGTTAACAGGTGAATCTGGATAAAAGGTATACAGGTATCCTTATACTATCTTATTTTTGTAACTTTGTAAATTTAAAATATTTTCCATAAATGGTTTTTAAAATTTTAGAAATGCAGCAAATCTTTTAAATGTTCTCAATTTAGTTTTCCTTTTATCTCCAGATAATCTAAAAGAACTACTTACTGACACAATCCCATGATTTCTGCCTTGACATCTCCATAGAGAGCAAACAACTATCTGGCACTATAACACTGTTCTTCTTTCCCTGGTTACTGTCCCTCTATTTCCTCTTTCTTTGGAAGCCTTTCCTCAGACACTCGAGTACTCTGGTTCTGTGAACAATGAGAGGTTATTTCTCTTTAAGCAAGTGATTTGCATCAAGTCAAAAATCACTGACTTACAAGTAATTAAACTGAAAACATGTGGCACAAGAATATTAGTTGAGGGGGAAAAAATGGGCCAAGGGTTAAAAACTATGCGGAATGTCGATATTTACGGTACCTTCTTTTTTTTCCAGAGATAAGACTGTAACTAGAAGCAGGGGGTGTCTTAGAAACCAAGAGAATAAAAAGATGAGAATGCCCATGAATGTGGTGTGAGGGGCTCATTAAAATGAAAACTAAACTCTGTAATTAGGAAAGCTGATTACTGAAGTCTTTGAAACATAAAGACTTCCCAGTTTGTGGAAGATGAAGTTTGTGAGATCTATTTGCGTTAAGTTCAACTTCCTTAAAACCTTGCACATTCCCTTAAAACCCATCTTGCCTGCAGCCAAGGAGGTGCGGGTCCTCCATGCCCACACCCCGTCACAGCTGCCCTCTGCCCCTCTACCAAGACGCCTTTACCCAGCTTCCTACAGCGCCTTCCCACAGAATAAACAGATCCCAGGGCACCAAAGAGAGGCTCTGAAATGCTGATATACCTAGTCAGGGCATCATAAACCAGAGGGCTCCGGGCCTCCCCGTCTTACACAAATCTCTGACGTCATGGCACTGAAATAACGGCATGACAGGCACTGCAAACAATGGCCACGGGTAGGAAACACAGTGTTGGCCTCAGCAGGAATAATTTCTACTTAGAAATTGTGCTGCTCTCACCACCCAGCCAGGGGCATGCTTTTCCCTAAGGCAGAGTATCGCTATAACAAAGAGAGCGTCACAAAGACACTAAATCTCAGTGGCTTTCTTCCCCAGGCAGCTCAAGCCTAGCCGGGCTTCCAGGCCCAGTCCCGCCAGCCAGCCATCTTAGAATTCTAGACAGACAGTTGCCATGGGGACATATATTATGTTTAGTAAGTTAAAAAACCAAGTAAATGCTTTCTGATACAAAATAAACCTGACTTAGATGGTTTACTATGGACCAATTATCATGGCAATTAGGCAGAGTGACAGACATTTTTCATAAATTGAGCTAAATCTGTAGCTCCAAGGCCCCATTAAACATGTGATGTGACACAACTTTAAAACCCCTTATTGATAAAAATACACTGAAATTAAAAATATTTCAATTTTCTCAACTACTTCATTCTAAATATATCCAGTTAAACAAAGGAACTCTAAATGAAAGACAAATGTATAAGTACAGTCATTTGATGAATTTTAGAAAAATTTTTTTGGTATACTTGATGGTATCCAACTGCTTTTAACAAAATTGACAGAAGGCCTTATTAAATTGTCAGTTGGTAAATCACTTAAAATCACTTGGTGATAGATTAGTATGTGATTTTTAGCATATAACCCAGGAGTTCAATGAACTGAGTGACAAGGCTATAACAAAATTCCTTCCTGTCTCCTTTCGTGAATAAAATATCTCAGCCTTTATATCTTTTTTTTTTTTTTAAAGATCAGAAATGACTTTAAACCTAGCTTCATTCTAGCAATAAGTATCATCCATGTACAATTTTAAAAGTACAGTTCTATCATCTCATTACGAGATGCATTTCCAACTTTTGAAAAATGTTTACTTAAATCTGTGATATATTTTATTTTGATCAACTCTGACCTAGTAACTATAACTCGATAAAAAAAATTTTAACATATAAATGTTAATGTTATTAACATATTAATATATTAACATATAAATGTTAATATGTAAGACTTAATAAAGGAAATTTTCACTATGTTCTACAATTCAATTTAAAGGTGTTTTTGCTACAGATAAATATGACAATGTAATCCACAAAAGATTTTCAAGCAAAAAATTTATCATAGGAATAAAATTCTGTGAGGAAAGTAAATCAAAATAAGAATTAAAGGAGAGAAAAGAACAATGTAAATTTCCAAATGTTTATTATTTTTTTTAAAGGAATGATGGTGTTGGTGAAGGTAAGGACCAAACTCCCAATGGTATTTAGATTCCCACTGGTTCTGTCTTATTTTCGGCCGCATCTCAGCATATGGAACTTCACTCACCAGGGATCAAACCCACGTCCCCTGCAACGGCGGCAGAGTCTTTACCACTGAATCCCCAGCAAAGTCCACCAGATTGTAAAAGAACAGGGCAAGCAGACCCAAGACCTGGGACAACTGGCGCAGGCCCACTCTGGCCACGTCAGGAAGAAAATCATGGTAACCTTACAGCTGCCTCTTGTTGCTTAGTCGCTCAGTCATGCCCGACTCTTTGCGACCCCATGGACTGTAGCCCGCCAGGCTCCACTGTCCACGGGATTCTTGAGACAAGAATACTAGAGTGGGTTGCCATTTCCTTCCCCAGAGGATCTTCCCAACCCAGGGATCAAACCCAGGTCTCCCGCACCGGCAGGTGGGTTCTTTACCACAGTGCCACCTAGCAAGCCCACAGCTGTTCCATCTCCCAGCTCACCCCTTTGAGGCCCTCACCCAGATCTGCCTTGAGTTTTCTATGGTCGCTCCTCCCAAGGAACAAACTCACAAAAACTGAGATGCTGCCTCTCTTGATAGGTCTGAACTTTAGTGAGAAATTTTGAAAAAAGCTAAAGACAAGAATGCCAGGCGGAGGCTGTTACAGACATCAAGCTCCCTTCAGGGTGAGATGTAGCAGGAGGAGACTCTCAGAACCACTTTATTACCCAGCAGCCCACCCCACTTCCACCAGGCATCCCTGGCCACAGACCCAACAGCAGTTGGTTCTAAACAATATCTATTGAATTAATTAGCTTTTATTGTAATGAAGGGCTTCCCTGAAAGGCCCAACGGGTAAAGAATCGGCCTCCAACACAGGAGACACAGGAGACTCGGGTTTGATCCCTGGCTGGAGAAGATCCCCTGAAGAAGGAAATGGCAGCCCACTCCAGTATTCTTGCCTGGAGAATCCCGTGGACAGAGGAGACCGGTGGGCTACAGTCCAAACCCAAAGGGTCACAGAGTTGGACACGACTGAGCAAATAAACATGCATTAAAAATAACGTGAAAATATCCAAATAAATGGTTCAACAGTTGTGTCCTGGGCACAGCTGGGCCATACCTAGATGCAAAGCCTTTTTATGATAAGGAGGAAGAGAACTAACTGGTGTAGAACTAACCAGATGGCTTGCTTGTTTTACTTCATTTAATCTTACTATTCTTTAAGGATGGTGCTATTATTATCCTGAGTTTACAGCAAAGATAATCCAAGGGCTTAAATAACTTATAAAGTCATAACGGAGTAAAAATATAATTATTTTCCAATGATTTTTTTAGCTTCAAACCTTTTCCCAATAAAGTGTTAATTATCAAACAGATGACAGCAAGCTTTTCTCAAGGGAAAGACTGGGGGCCCAGCGCTCCCCCAGCTCTGCAGCCTCCAGGCTTCACCCACCTCCCCTGCAGAACCTCTCATCCTGAAGAAAGCCATCGGAACCCTTGGATTCAGAGTCAGACACAGCCTCCTCTGAGTCTCAGCTCCACTGCCTGGGAGCACGGAGGGGTAATATGTTCTCTGTCCATGTGGAACAAGACAGGGGCTTGTCCTAAAGAGGGCCTGAAGTGTCATGCACACAGACGGTGCTCAGCAAACGGCAGCCAGGTGACCTGCTCCTGTTTGCATAATGTGCAAGCAGTAGAGGCGGAATTCAGCTCCAGGCTCAAGATGTCAGATTTCATGCCTTTCCTGCCATTCACACCCCCCAAAAGCAGTTCCAGGCCCCTAAACAGAACGCAGAGAAAGGGCTTAGGATGCAAAGGCAAGCCAGTCTAGGAGCAAATCTGGAATGCGAACAAGAAAAAAAGTGTCAAACTGGAAATTTCACAAAGGAAAGCAATATCCCCAGACTTAGAGACTGCTGAAATTCCCTAGCACTGAACTCAACCATCCAGGGTGCATCAGTTCAGTGTGGACAAGGCTGATGAGAAAACAATGTGGCAAACAGATCTGAGCGGTAAAGCAGGGTTTAAACTACCTTGAAAGACTGTGTTAAACATGTATGACATCAGAGATTTCTTTTGTTATGGGATTTCTTTTTTAACCAGTTTGCAAATGTAATATGTATTTTTAAATACTATGTAATAAATGTTAAAACACTTATAAGATAAAAACCAACTATAACAATTTAACACTCAACATACCAGAAATTCTATCTTTGAAACTTCTTGAACTAAAGATGAAAAGTGAGAGGGGGCACATAGTCTTTCAAAATGATTTTGGAGATATACAGGGAAGAGGCTTGAAGACCACTGATGCAGCCTGTTCCTTCAAATAGTCCACATGAGAGGAGCTGTCAGTACCAACAGTCAGAGGGAGACAGGCCAAGGGTCAGGACAGAAGAGATTAGCCCCGCTCAGAGCCAGCAGAGAGAGGTGGAGAATGCATGGAGCCAGGTTCCGACGAGGGAATGGGCAGAGAGAGGACAGTCTTCCAGTTGTCCTTAAGATGGAAGCTTCAAAAATAAAATTCTCTGGTATTATTCAAACTCATTCCAAACAAGTGACTTCACCATTTAAAACCCGCCCCACTTATCCTATTTTCTAGAATTAGAATTTGCTTTTGAAGAGAAAATTGTTTTTATTGTGAAATATGAATAATGATAATGCTAATACCCACATGTGAAAAGTAGTAAATTCTTTAATTCAATAAAATACTCATTATAATATGTTTAAAAAGACAGACTTTAACAAGCATCCAAGCAGCCAGTAATAGAACCTGTCCTGTACTGTGTTTCATGAGAAATCTGCAGCATGCTGAAAGAGAAGGGTGAATGAGTACTTGAAATGTTAAGAGCTCGTTTTAATACAAACCACAGCCCCATGAGGCAGTTATATACTATCTCCAGTTAACAGATGGGGAATTAAAGCCCAAAGAGATTAAGTAACTTGTCATTAGGTTAAAACACGGCAGAATCAAACTTTAATCCAAGTCTGATGCTAAGGGGGAAACTCGTTCTTTTCCACCCAACTACATGGCTCAAGGTAGCTTTTGAATCAGAAACTAAAATATGTTCAATTATTTAGTGTTAGGTTTACATTCTCTTGGTCTTAATTTTTTTTTTTTTTTGAAAAATTGAAGCCTATATAACAGTAACTCAAAAGTAACACAAACTGGGACTCTAAGAATGTTTCAATCCTTTACTAATAATGGGTAAGGATAGCTTAACAGAACACAATACACTGAACATGACTCCTCATTATGTGATTACCAAATGTCTATCAACAGGAAACATGCATTTCTCTGTGGTGGCTTGAGTCCTATTTCTTAAGATATTAGATATAAATACATTTATCTGGACTTAAAAACAAAAAAAGAAAGCAAAAATATCCATAGTGAAAGCAAGGATCAAGGTACTGACAGCTCCTTTCACCTGGCCTATCTAAAGGAACAAGCTGTATCGGTGGTCTTCAAACCTCTTCCTTGAATATCTCTAAAATCATTTTGAAAAACGACTTAACCCCTCTCACTTATTTAATTTTTGGTATATTGGGTAAAATTGTTATAGCTATTTTTTTAAACGTTTGTCTTCTAAGTGTTTTAACATTTATTACACAATATTTAAATTCATACTACATTTGCTTGTTAAAATCTTGTATTTTTAAACATAATGAGTACTTTGAATCGAATAAATAATTTTACTTTTTTTTCCATCTGGATATTAGCATTAGTGAATAACTGAGGAGTATGTATCTTCAGTAAGTTGTGTTGGGAACACTGGACAGCTACGTGTAAAAGAATGAAATTAGAACACTCCTTAAACACGAGACACAAAAATGAATTCAAAATGGATTAAAGCCCTAAATCTAAGACCAGGCATTATAAAACTCTTAGAGGAAAATGCAGGCAGAAGATTCTTTGACACAAATCTCAGCAAGATGTTGATTCACTTCCTATAGTAATTAAAATAAAAACAAAAATAAACAAATGGTATGTAATGAAACTTAAAAGCTTTAGCACAGCAAAAGGAAACCATTAACAAAAGAAAAAGACATCCTCAGAATGGGAGAAAATATTTGTAAACAAAGCAACTGATGAGGGATTAATCTCCAAAATATACAAAGAGCTCCAGCAGCTCAATATCAAAAAACTAAATAATCAAAAAATGGAAGACCTAAATACACATTTCTCTAAAGACATACAAATGGCCAAAAAGCACATGAAAAGATGCTCATCATCACTAATTATTAGCGAAATGCAAATCAAAACTATAGTGAGGTATTACCTCACACCGGTCAGAACAGCCATCATCAAAAAGTCTATAAACAATAAATGCTGGAGAAGGTGTGAAGAAAAGGGAACCCTCCTACACTGCTGGTGGGAATATCAACTGATACAGCCACTATGGAGAACTGTATGGAGTTTCCTTGAAAAACTAAAAACAGAGCTACCATATGACCCAGCCAGGCATACACCCAGAGAAAACCGTAACTCAGAAAGATACACGCACCCAAATGGTGACTGCCACACACAACAGGCAGGACACGGAAGCAATCTAAAAGTCTATCAGCAAAGGACTAGATAAAGAAGATGTGACGCATACACACAACAAAGTATTACTCAGCAGTTAAAAAAAAAAAGAACAAAATAATGCTATTTGCAGCACTTACTGAGTGAAGTCAGTAAGACACAAAAAGACAAATCTTACATGACACTGCTTATAGTGAGTGAGTGGAAGTCAGTCAGCCGTGTCCGACTCTTTGCAACCCCATGGTCTATCCATGGGAATTCTCTAGGCTTCTTGCCTAGTGTGGGTTGCAATTCCCTTCTCCAGGGGATCTTCCTGACCCAGGGATTGAACTCAGGTCTCCTGCATTGCAGGCAGATTCTGTACCATCTGTGCTACCAGGGAAGCCCATAGATTACACGTGGAATCTAAAAAAATAAAAAAAGGGTAGGGGTACAAATGAACTTATTTACAAAATGGAAGTCGAGTCATGGATACGGAAAACAAGCTTATAGTTACCAGGGAATGGAGAGGCTGGGTGGCAAGAGATAAACTGGGAAAATGGGACTGACGTATACACACTACTATATATAAAATAGGTAACTAGCAATAACCAGCTACATAGCACAGGAAACTCTACTTAATACTCTGCAGTGGACTAAATGGGAAAAGAATCTTTAAAAAAAATGAGGAGCATGTATCTTGATTGTGAATAGCTAAAAGTTTAATTTTAAAAGTGCAATATGGTTTTTAGGAATTTATGTACTGAAAACATTTTCTGTTTCCTAAGTTCTGGAACACGAACCAAATTCCAACATAACTGAAGGATCCAGTGACTCCAGGCCACCACGTGCCTGCGTGCTCAGCCACTGAGGGAGGCCCCGGCGCTACCACGCTTTCTCTTCAGTGCAACAGGCTCATCAAGAGGAAGGAGCACTCACCTGATAAACACGTCATTAGGCCCAAGGCAAGCATAGCACCAGCCAACACTGTCAAACGGTTATAGCGCATCGCCATGATGGCTGCTATAAAAAACGTCTTATCACCCAGTTCAGATACAATGATAACTGATATGGCAGCCACAAATGCATGGATAAATCCCAAATTAGTTTGGGTAGCTGGATCTTCTTTATTGGTATGAACTGGAGCAGCTGGTGTAAATCCTTTCTGAAATTAGAAAATACATATTAGCTATATTTTAAAAAGTCATTATTTTAAATTATTTTACTTGTAGGTGAGTTGAGATTGTTTTTCTATTGTAGTCATTAGACTTATTTACTATCTAACCACTGCCTTAGTGGTGACAGCAACCTCTGATTGATGGTTGCTAAAATGGAAATCCAAGCACAAGTCTACAAAACAATTTAGGAAAAGAGCAGAGACCAGCTATAGCCACACATTAAAATTACCTTATTTTCTAGTGTGAGTTGAGTTTTTAGCTATGCCTCATTCAAATCTTTATTCATAATTTAGGTGTAAGACCCAAGGTATCCTTATCAAACTTTCAAGTAACAGGAAGCTGAGAGAAATTTCATGAATACTTAAGAGAACAAAGCAGGATCCAGAAAGTTCTCCGTAGGCTAGAGGAAGAGCTGGCTCTAGCTAAGCTGAGATCTAATATCGCTGGATATATGGATGGTCCTACACCAATACCCTAGGCTGTAACGCGGCCTAATAAAGAAGATAAGCTGAGTCTTTGTTGCTGTTAAGGCCATTTTGAGTTGAAAATGTGACAAAGTTCCAAGAAAGCAGCAAGCACTTTAAAGAGTTAATGACAAGCCCATCTTCTGAGCCTCCCAGCCCTCACCCAGAGTTCTGTACTGGCTCTGAGGCACCACATTCTAAGAGGGCACCACTGCCCTCTGAAGGTAACCTCAGACAGAAGAGACTCTAAAACCAGGGACTGGCAAGCTACTGGTAAGAGTAGATCCAGCTGAAAATGATTTTTTTTTTTTCACTTTTTATGGGATTGCAAAAATAGAAAAGGGGAAGGAGGGAGGGAGAGGGCTGGAGAGAAGCAGGAAAGGAACATTAGGCAACAGAGACCTCTTAAGGTCTTACAAATACGTGGCCAAACCTAAAATATTTATTATCTGGCTCATGACCAAAAAAAAGGTTTGCTAACTCAGGCTCTAAAACAATCACATAAGGACTGGGTGCCTATGTTCCAATAACTGAGAAAGTCTATATGAAAGTCTCTGTGGGCCCAAGAGGTAGAAGTAAAAAGTTATAGGTGGCAGGTTATATTTAGCTTAACACCTAGAAAAAAGTTATACCCCATGAGGGTTTCCAGAGGTTGAAATGGACTGCTGGCCTGCATGCATTCTCAATTGTGTCCGACTCTTTGTGACCCCATGGATTGTAGCCTGCCAGGTTCCTCAGTCCGTGGGATTTTTCAGGCAAGAATATTGGGAGTGGGTTGTCGTTTCCTCCTCCAGGGGGCCTTCCCAACCCAGGGATGAAACTATCGTCTTCTACATTGACAGGCCGATTCTTTACCCCTGAGCTACCTGGGAAGCCCATATAATATAAACTTGACTTCCAAAGTCCACGATAAGGATCAGAAAACTTTATTAAAGCATTACTCAGACTAGACCTCTAAGGTAAAGATTTGGGAAATTTAACAATTTGGAAAATATTTGGCGTTAGGGTTAAATCGAAAGGGCAGCCTTGGAAGGCCAGCTCATGATTAACCAAGTACCATGTTAAGAGATTCTAGCTCTCTCTCCATCATCATTCCAACTATGCTGGTTTTCCTTTGAAAATGAGTTTCCTTTCTATTTCAATACCCTAAGAGTGGAGAAGGCAATGGCAACCGCGATTCCAGTACTCTCGCCTGGAAAATCCCATGGACGGAGGAGCCTAGTGGGCTGCAGTCCATGGGGTCGCAAAGAGTCGGGCATGACTGAGCGACTTCACTTGCACTTTTCACTTTCATGCACGGAGAAGGAAATGGCAACCCACTCCAGTGTCCTTGCCTGGAGAATCCCAGGGACGGGGCAGCCTGGTGGGCTGCCATCTATGGGGTCGCACAGAGTCGGACACGACTGAAGTGACTTAGCAGCAGCAGCAAGAGCATTAAACATGATAAAAAAAAAAATATGCATTTTCATTCAGTTTTCACTAATGCAACATTTTCCTCTTGGAAATACTTTTTGTATGAAAAAATCTTGCTGCAAAATATTTAGGACCTAAAATCCAAGAAAATATTTTAGGAATAAATATACACCATTTACAACCAATTTCAAACAGAAAATGTTTACTTTTAAAAACAAACACAATAGTGATCAAAACACATATTCTCATAGTTTCTTATTTCCCAGCTATAAAACAGAGGCCACATTACTTAGCCTCTCCATTCCTCTATGAAATTATGAGGATAAAATAAAACTTGCCTTATAAGCACAAAGCAAAACAAAAACTGATCCTTGTGAACTATGGTGTTGGAGAAGACTCTTGAGAGTCCCTTGGAAAGCAAGGAGATCAAACCAGACAATCCTAAAAGAAATTAATCCTGAATATTCATTAGAAGGACCGACGCTTAAGTGGAAGCTCCAATATTTTGGCCACCTGATGCAAAGAGCCAACTCATTGGAAAAGACCCTGATGCTGGGAAAGATTGAAGGCAGGAGGAGAAAGGGACGACAGAGGATAAGATGATTGGATGGCATGACCGATTCAACGGACATGAGCAAACTCATGTTTGAGCAAACTCAGAGAGATAGTAAAGGACAGGAAGCTTGGCATGCTGTAGTACACAGGGTCACAGAGAATCAGAAACAACTCAGTGACTTAACAACAGCAAAACAAAAACTACATATTCTTAAAATCCTTCTATATACAGAGCATTAAAAAAAATCAACTTATAGTTTTTGTTATATATTGAACTGGTCCTGGACAGTCCAAATTAGTGTTAAACAGCCACCAACTGTGGTGTGATTAAGAATTTAAAACAAAAGTACCAGGGTATTATGTGTGTATGTGTGTGTCTATGTGCACACTCAATTGTGTCCATTTGCGACCCCATGGACTGTAACCCACAAGGCTCCCCTATTCGTGGAATTTTCCAAACAAGAATATGGAGTGGTTGTCATTTCCTCCTCCAGGGGATCTTCCCGACCCAGAAAAGGAATCTGCATCTTGGGCAGATTCACCTGCATTGGCAGGTGAATTCTTTACCACTAGGCCACCTGGGAAGCCCACTATGAAGACAGAAGATTTAAAAATTTAAATTTTTATAAATGCAGAAAATGATCAATTACTATTCATTCATTTGTTGTCAATTACCCAAGTAATTACTATGTGCAGGGACCAGCTTCTTTTCCTAGTTCAACTTCGGAAGGGCAGAATGTAATGGTTTAATACATGGGCTCAGGAGTCAGACTGTCAGAGTTCACAGCCAAGATACTACTGGTTACTGTATGACCTTGGGCCAGCAAGTTTACGCCCCTGTGACTCAAGTCACATCTCTATGATGAGGGGCATCCATCATAGACTGGTAAGGTGGTTGTTGTTAGGATTAAGTGAAGTACTACACATAAAGCCCTGAGAACGGTGCCTAACGCACAGTGAACAGTCACAGCCAGCTATTACAGCACACCACAAACGTGACCAGTTAAGTCACCCCAAAACGAACTTCATCATGGCCCTCTTAAGCCTAGAACACGAGATACAAATACTTAATTCTGGTAACTATACACCATGTCCCATGTGATCATATACTAATTCCCAAAACGAACCGTGCATTTCCTAGTGAAGGCTGAGCCAGAGCAACCCTGTCCAACAGTGAATAATGCAAAAGCCACACAATGTAACTTTTTAATTTCTAGGGAATTCTTTAGCAGTCCAGTGGTTAGCCAGATATTAAAAAAAAGAACAGATAAAATTATTTTTAATATTATTTTATTTAACCCAACAGACCCCAAATACTACTCTAGGAATATTTTTCAAATGACTAATGAGATATTTAACCCTCTTTTTTTTTTTTTTTTACCAAATCTTCCAATGCCAGTGTGTATCTATTCACTGCACACATCTCATGCACCTCTCAATTCGGACCTGCCGCATCTTCTCAAGTGCTTAAGAACAGCCACATGGCTCACAGCTGTAGTACCAAACAGTGCAGTTCAAGAGTACGAGTTTTTGGTAACCACAAGCTTTCTATCATGCAGTCCTACTTCCCTTCCTACCTTCCTATTATCCTCCTATTTATCTAGATTCCTCAAGATCCAACTTCTGTGGAACCTCTTGAGCAATGCCTACCCCAACAACCCCAGCCCCTAAGGATCCCACTCTCCTCAAACTGAAGGCATACAGTGGGCAGTGAGTCATGGCAAGCACAGGACTGAAACAGTTTGAGAAAGGAACACTCAGGGAGTTAACCTTTTTGTACTAGAAACAAGTATAAACATATTGTTGTCATTTGTAATAGTTAAAAGAGACAAAATAACTAAATGCCCATACACAGGGAACTGGTTAATAAATGGTAGTTCCATTTACTGGAATATTATGGGCTAAAAGTAGGAATGTTTTATATACACTATTAAGAAAAAAAATTACTAACATTTTTAAGTTAAAAAAAGTATGTCCCATGTATGTGGTCACTGTATTATATTAAGGGGCGGGGAGTCAGGCAGGATTATAAAGTATACACACAGTTGCTAATGCTCAAGAAATCTCAGGAAACAGTAACAGTGGCCAGGGAAGGAACCAGGATGACTAGAACAGGTGTGGGCAAACTTTCTCTTAAAGGGCCAAATATTTAACTTTTTGAGCCATAAAGTTTCTTTGGTAATTACCCAACTCTGGTGCTATGGTCTGAGATCAGCCATAGGTAATACTTGAAGGAATGGCCTAGCTCTATTCTAATAAAACTTTACTTACAAAAAGGGGCTGTCAGTGATAAACTAGTTTGCTGACCCCTGCGCTAGAAAACAAGAGAAGACACACTTTTCATTCTACATTCTTCTGTACCTTTTGGATTTTTCACCATGCTCACGATTAAAGACACCTATTGTGCACCACTTCAAAAATCACTTGACCCAATTTCTTATTCCAGCCATGGATGATCAATTCTGCAAGCTGTAACTGGCTTCAGGCAGATCCAACCAGAAAGTAACTGTTCTTCACACCCTTATTCACTACACTACCTAGAAGTGTGGAGGAGT